TCCCCTTCAAATTTTTTTTCAATAATTTAACTCAAGTTCATTGTTTTATGTTCTAATTATCGTAAATAAAGCTATGGGCTTAGGAATATTGATATTGTAGACTGCAGTCTTTAATATTTGTTTTTAATGTACATTTTTTTATTAATATTTTTATTTTAATTCTTAAAATGCATTCGCCTGCGGGCGCCCATACCTCCCTTCACATTTTTTTTCTATAATTCAACTCCAGTTAATTTTTTTAAAATATTGATAACAAGTTATTACCTACCTCACAAAAATTCATTGTTTCATTATCTAATTATTGAAAATAAAGCTATGAGTTTAGAAATACTGATATTGTAGACTGCAGTCTTTAATATTTATTTTTAATGTACATTTTTCATACATTTTTTTTAATTTGATTCTCAAATATCATTTCCCTTCGGGTGCCCATGGAACCCTTTCCAATTTTTATTTTGAAATTTATATTCTATCATATTTTTTTTTTTATTTTTTTTATTTTGATTCTTACAATTCATTTGCCCGTGGGTGCCTATAGTCCCATTTCCATTTATTTTCAAAAGTTAGATAATGAAACAATGAATTTTTAAAGTTACTAACAACCAAATTAATTGTAGTTTCTTGAAACCGCTAGCTACATTTTGGGGGCTGCACGAAGTTGGTCCCCTCCCCCATCTTATTTTTTGTATACCATGTGAGGAATGTATTTGCAAAATGATAACATAACTTTCAAAAAACTTGGTCATTTTGTTTGGGCCAACTTCACGCACATTGGCCTCTCAGATTTTTTCATCTTTTGTCCGGTTTTTTTTTTACTATATATAACTATAAATTTTTTCAAGATATGTTCGATAATTTAAAAACATACAATTCATGATATTTCAATAAAATAATAAAAGTTAGATATAAAAAACAGGGGGTGCTAAAAACCTTTTTGCACCGCTTTAGTTGGGCCACTGATAACAATGCTTGAAAGTTGACATGGAAAATAAATAGTAAATTCGTAGAAGCACAGGTCAGTGGCGTATTTGAGGGGGGGGCGATGGGGGCAATCGCCCCTCCCGAGAGTTTTTAGACCAAGAAAATTTGTGTACAAGTAATAGGTATTTTATTAAGAAACAAAAATAAAATTATGATTTATGAAAAATGTTATCAGTGATAACAAAAGATAAAAATGTACATACATTATGAAGAGTATTATAGAGTATCACTATTTATACCATTACTGGAAAATATCCTAGAAGACTTAAGATCAAGATTCATAAGAAAAGAAAATAAGATGTTATTAGATTTATGTTTGTTAATTCCACGCTACATTACTGACATTTCTAATGACGATTTTAAAAAAATAACAGAAGCTGCCACAGAATTATTTGTATTTAATGAAGAAGAATCTGTTGACCAAATCGAGCTAAAAACAGAACTAGATCTATGGAAAACTAAATGGCAACGAATAAAAACTGATGGTAAAAAATGTTTGTAATTATACTTTTCTTAAAACTGTATTAATTGATTGTTTTATAATTTTGTTTAAGGTCATGAAATTTGTCAAGATGCTTTGTCATCAATGGAAAATTGTAATAGTATCATTTATCCAACTTTGCATAAATTAATAAGTATTATTGCTTGTCTGCCTATTAGTGTAGCATCCGCAGAACGCAGCTTTTCAACGCTTAGAAGGTTTGGTGCATGTGTTAATTATTAGAATAAAAATTAGCTAGCTTCTATAAAATACTTTAACTATATACCTACAACCTAATACTATATATATTCTATATATATAATAGTATATATATATATATATTTACAATGCTTAAAATTAAAGATCTGTTTTTCTTCTTAAATTGCATTAAAAAAAACTTTTAATTCTTCTCTTTGCTTACTTTTGTTGCTTTTTTTGTTAGATTGAAAACCTGGTTAAGATCTAGAATGGGACAAGAACGCTTGACTGGTTTGGCTTTGCTAAACATACACCATACTTTAACCATATCAGTAGATGATGTTATAAATAGATTTGCTAATACAAAAAAAAGAAATATAGATTTTGTTTTGTAAATATGTTGTTTTTTTATCATATTAGTAACTTATTACTTTATAGGTTATATTATACAGGTACAATATAAAATTAATTATGTCTAGGTAAGTTTATGTAAATGGTTGCCGGTTTGGAATATTCTTTTTAAAATCGCCCCCCCTCAGATGAACTCTCAAATACGCCACTGGCACAGGTACATCTTTACAGCAATGAAACATAATCAATATACATATAGATATAACTTATATATACCTAGGTACAAGATACTTCATATAACCACAGGGAGCTTTATCCCCCCCCCCCACATATCTTATATTAAACTCTAAAACATATTGAGACAAACCAATGCACATTTTATACCTATGGTATTAATTATTATATTTACCTAATTTATAACCTTCTACTAAAAGCATGATAGACTTTTATTAGGTATTGAGGTAATATACTGGAATTGTTACCAAATGTATCAATAATACATTATAGGGAGTTTAAAATATTTTAATTAAATTAGTTATATATCTACCTAATGGTTAATAGATACATATATCTATATTATAGCAACATAATATTATACCTAGAACCTAGGTAGTAATGTAGTATATTGTAATAATGTATATACCTAATACACTATACATACATATATATATAATATAAAGTATTGTCTGGATAATCCGAAAGATTATGGGGAAAGGGGTCGTTCGGATTACCTATGGCTTAAAAAAAAACATCAGTTTTATTGTAATTTAAATTATGAAATTTTATTTTCATCTGCATTAATCATGTAAAAACTCATAATTTCAAAAGACAATGAATATATAAAAATATTAATAATTATAATAAACATAATCGAAAATTTTATTACCGGAAAATATTATTTATAAATACATATGTGCATATTAGATAAGATAAGATAATTCTCCATTCGGATTTACGCGTCTTTCGGATTAGCCTGTGTTCGAATTATCGAGACCCTACTGTATATATAATAATTAATAAGTAATACCTTATGGGTACCTACATAAATAGTATAGTAATATAGTATACCCACTTGTCAAAGAAATTTTCAATCAGCCATTCAAAGTTTTAAAAACTCAATTTCATTTTTAGGTAACAAAAAAATACGATTTCTCTTAATAATTGTTTTTTTAATTCTGCAACTAAATGAACATAATATTATAGTCGTTTTTTAAGCCATTTTTGTGTTAGCTGCAATGTAAAATTACTGACTGTTGACTAATGAGTCATTATGTAGCCATGTAAGTACCAAAATTGGTACACAAAGTGGTTATAGTCACGAATTAAGATATATATATATCTTAATTCGTGGTTATAGTCCATGGTATTTTCTGTCTATTGTCGTTTTCGATCAATTAGCCCCTCACGAACAACTGGACGTGATTGCGACTTCTGCGGTATCAACGAGGGGGTCTGTCTGTAGATATAACACAGCGTAAAGTGTAAATATCAACGATGACAGTATCAACTTACTATCTCGAGTACATTTTCGCTTTCAATTTACATATTATGATACATATATAAATAACGTTAAATGCCGTAAAAGGTTATTTTCGGGGTCCTGGGGGTCGAAGATCAACGGTTCGCCGCCGAGTGTTTTATTTGGCAACGATCCGATTAACGGCCGTGAGTTGTCGTCTGATAAACCGCACGGAGACAGAATTATTACATTCCACGAAGTACGAAATTTAATACGCGATTCGCTTTTCGGTCTTGGGTTTTCGACGTCGGACAACCATAAAATAATAACCGATACACTGTTTATAGCTATTTTTACCGACACCATTCGCCGCTCGATCGGCACCGCCTCGAGATGTCACGTGCTCCGTTACCTTAAACCCCTAATATTGTTTGGCCGGAACGAAAGGTGTTTTGTTTTTAATTTCTTGGAGATCCGTGCTCTTCAAACTGGCCGAGGATATGGCCGATCCCATAATCGGGCAGAAGTCGACGCGAAGGAAACAGTGGACCTTACTGAGTAAGGGTACAACATAATTAATATATGAAATATGTTAGGGTGCACCGGTGGTAATTTATTTTTATTTTTACCCTCTATAGATCGAACCCAGAGTCGATACAACCGTTTTGGAAGTTTCTTGGCGGAAGATGGATGGCCCGATTCACAAGTCGATTTGGCCAAACAGTTGCTGAATGAGAACTGTGGTAAGACAAACTATTTACATACTCTCAAATCAAACTATAAATTATTATGAATAATTTATTTTATTTATTTGTTATAAAGCATTTTCATTTTTTTACTACAAATATATAGATATAGTAATATTATAGCTTCTATTTTAGAATCTATCATTTTTAAATTACCTTGTTTTACCATGTAGAAGATGAAAAAGACCAAGAAGAAAATGCTAGTTTAGGTGTTTATTGGCTCATCAAGGCTTCTTCGCAAGGACATAAAGAGGCAACTGAACTTTTAAGAGAATGTCTTGACACAGGAAAAGGTTTGTTCTTAGTTTAATTATGCTAATTATTTATTAATAATTTATCAATCATCCCCAATAATATTATAAATACATATTTTAACTTCAAAATTATTTTTAAAAAATTTGCAACTCATTTACATCAATTTGTTAACTGAATACTTGTTTAGGTATCACTGAACACAATTGGCTGGATGTTAAAGTTTGTCTGGAAACTTCTCAAGAGGATAAAATCATTCAAAAAACAGCACATGAAATATTTGATAGGTATTATTCTATCATGAATAAGAATATTAACATTTATGTACAGTATAATATTTCAGAATAATAATGAATTTAATAATCCGTTAGGAGGATGTCATACCCGCTGTGTACTCTAAGTCTTACAATAATTTTAATTTGTATTTAGTAGACTAGTTTTGAGTTAGCTTTAATATTAAAAAGCTCGATCTATTATACAACTTAATGGTAAGAATATTATTGTGTTTGTATGTTGATTATTATATAATAATTTAAGTATTATAGAAATGTAGATAATGTTTTTTCCTTTAAGTTTAATGATATATCAATTCACTCTATTAAATCTAATAACACAAAATTGGTTCTGCTAAATGCATATTTGTAAGACAAAAAAAAACACTGTTATATATTAGTTATAACGTAACTTTATTCTTTTATTATTTCAGGATGTCAGCTGGTGAAGACTTTATAACTAGTGACCAATTGAAAGATGAATTAAATCAAGCATGTAGCACCAAATCCATTAGCTCAGACATCATTAAAGTAGATGAAAACTCTAAAGAATACAAACGTTTAAAATCATCGCGGCAAGGTATTAAAAAAAAATAAAAATAAAACTGTACCTTAGAACTTGATGCTGTGGATGCTACAATAACTATCGTTTTTTCTGCTCAACATAGGATTTTGAAATAGTACAAATAAAAGCCCTTTTTCCCAAAAATATAGATATTATATTATCACATTTCATGTTTAATGCATCTTTTAATTGTATACATGCCTGAGTTGGTCATGATTAAATAATTTCATGCAGTCCATAACCCTTTGGTTTTTTTTAGGGTCTCGTAAATAATTTATTTGATTGGGTTCTTACTAGTCTATATAGGGAGTAGGGACATCACAAAGTATTTATCACAATATTTAACTGTACTTAATCGTTAGACTCAATTTTTCTTTATAGGGCCTTAGGCAGTTTAAGAAACTGATCCATGGGCCTTTGGTGTGCAACGCCGACACTGAGTTCTTGCATTTATAAATTATAATATAGTATGTATGTATTTATTTTAGACTGGAAATCCAGAATAAATGAATCTGGAGAAAAACTTACTGAAGATGTATTAGTGAATGCTGCTAAAGATTTTTCACGTGGGCAAATGCCCCTTGTGCAAAAAATGCTTACCATTGAAGAAAACAAAAATGCCATATCTACTACTTGTGACTTATTTCTCCAGCCAGTGTACATTATTCACAATTATAATCTTTGCCTTCAAGAGAGATTGAATAAAAGATTTTCCAAGTTGTCATTAAATCCATTCTCATATTTTCACGCTCCAACATTGATAACTACACTTCTCTGCTTTATATTGGGCTTGGATGGTATTCGTTTGTTGATTCCTTATATTCTATTTTATGGATCATTGCTTGCAATGGTGGTTGCCACAGTATGTGCATTATGTGCAAAAAGAGATTATGGACGATTTCGCCGATGGTCAAATTTATTCATCACATACAGTGGTGGTTGTCTTAGTGCTCAAGAAGCTGAATATCAACATTTGATGAACACTCTTAAGCCATATGTTTTCTTTTTTGCATCATTAGGAGCTCACTTATTTATGAAGACTGTAATTGATTCAGATACCATGTTTCAATCTGAATTAACCATTGTATCAATTTGCTTAACGTTTTATACGCTTTATTCTTTTTCGGTAATTATACTACGTCTTACAATTTATTTATTTTAAATTGGTACATTATAATTATGTATTATATTTAATAATGTACCTATCATGCAATAAATATTTGTATGTATTGTTTTAGTTATCTGGCCCAAAATTGGGCAAAACCAAAAACATAGATCTGATTGCGCTGTTATCGTTTTGTGTCAATGTGCTAGCAAAATATCCATATGAAACTGATACAGTAGTAAGCAAAGGCTGGAGATTTCTTGATTTACATGTACCGACTTTTGCATCACATGTCATTGGTAAGTTAACTCGTGAATTATGTTTACATCATGTCATATCTACATTATATTAACTGCATACAATTATTTTCTAGGAAATGGTGTAGAATTTTGTCTCAACTTTAGAGCGTTATTTTATTTAATATTACCAGCTATTATGGTTAAAATGGCGGCACGTAATAATTGGAGAGGAATTTATACAGACTTAATACCACATTGCATGACACTTTCGTGGTGGCAGATGGCTCTAGTTGCTTCTCAAGGTATGTTATATTTAATTGAAAGCTAAACTAGTAAATCAACTAATAATAATTTTGATTGTTTTTCAGAATCGACATGGTATGGGCTTGTTCGTAGTATATTAGCCTTAGTCTGTGTGTTTATACTGTTTCCAATTACTGGTATTTTTTTGCCATTTGTCACTATTGGCAACGACTTTGAGACAATATATCAGATTATTCAACTGCCCGTTGTTCTAATATTTATGTGGATTTTACATATAGTTTTGCAATATTTCAAACGTAAAGGCTTTCGCACAGATTCGTTTTATACATATTTGCAGGTATTTGAATTAATATCGAAACTATTAACTTAGTAAATAACCGTAATTTGTTTTAGGTTCTTATAGTTTTAATTGGTACAACAATATGTGTTTTTAACAACTATGAGCGTTTACAACAATGGATTGAGCCGCCTGTTGACAATCACTTGACATATAATGATTTCTCAGAATTTTGTAATAAAGATATTGGTAAAAATTCTCAAGAGACCACTGTGATGGCTGATATTGACTGTTCGCAATTAATTGGTCAAAATGTGCAATGGGATGGCTACATAAAATCCAGCAAAGTTGTTTCAGTATACAATCCTATTTTAGCTGTATTAAGCTTCTTCCCAAAAGTAAGTTTCAAAGGAAAAAAATTATATAATTTAACTAATTTTAAATATTTTATCTTAGATTATATCGAATCCATTGACTTGTCTGCTGGGTAAACGTTTATCTACATGTTCAGACAGTTATGGTTGTAACGTGAGCTCAAAGTTATCTGACCTTTGCCACTTATCTGAATGGAATCGTTATACATATGAAATAGAAATAAAAATGAGTAATGAAGGTGTATGGGGCAACACTGGTGATATAACAACACTGCTGACCAATAGTCAAGATATCATAATGGACAATGCAACAAAAAGTTTAAGAGAAAATGACCATGTATGGTTTTCAGGTCAGTTGTCCGGTAACAAATTTGGTATATTAACAGCCAAAAATCCATTTGTACAAGCATCTTCTGTTGGGTGTTTGACATGTTCAAAGATTCAAGTCATCAACAACAACAACAACGTTAGACAAAAATCATTTGATGACGAATTTTTCAAATGTGCCAAAAGACTGTTTCAATTCATTTTATATCCAATTGTATTATTTAAATGATCTTCACAAAAAAAAAAATAATCCTACTAAAATTAGTTATCATTAATACATTTAATATTTATTTTTATTACTTAAAAATGCTTTTATAAGTATATTTTGCACTATGTATTATTATATTTATAACACTTAATACTGTGAAGTGCAATAATTTAAATTAATTTTTACTAATAATTAAGAAATTAACCAAAAATTTGTTTTGTTTATAAAATAAAAATATATATTATTTAGTAATAAATGTTAAACCAAAAACTTAATTTTTATCCAACATATTTCTTACATTTATAGAAAAAAAAATATTCAGTGTTTAGTCTTTACTGTGTTACGTTAGTAACATATTTAATACTATGATACAACTTAAAATATTGAATAATTATAACTTTGGTAAATGTAAATGCAGTTATATTTACATAACCTGTAAATATTGATGTGTTACAGTGATGTACAAATTATTACACAACAAACAAAAACAAACAATTTAATAGCAACCTGATCGATACTTAGATCAATTTGATAATTCAGTTAATAGAATCTGACCAGATTAATCAAGTGAGAATTAAATAATTCTTAAGTTTATTCAAAAAAAATAAGGATAAGTAAAGAATAAAAATTGCATTTAAAAATATTTTAAAAAATTTAATAATTTAACATATCGTAAACATTTTATTATAATTTTAATGTTAAAGTAGGTATCATACTTCAAAACGTTGAATGTAATTTTAAATTTAAACAATATTAACATTTCTAAAAATATTTTGGATTTATAACGGTTGTGTATAAAACATAAGTGACCTTTAAGAAGTTTATAATACTAAAAAATATAATAATATATACAACTACAAGGACAAAATAAATATTATTTCACATCTTATGATAAAGGTTAAGACTCCAGAAGTTGTTTACATCCAAAGCTGTCTGGTAGTAGGTTATGCACCAAGCAACAACTGAATTTCTTCCATTGTCTTGCCCTTAGTTTCAGGAACAATGAATACCACAAAAAATGTGCCCAACACACTGACCAACGTGTAGAGCCAAAATGTGTTGTATAAATAAATAGTAGATACCAATAATGAGAAAAATTTAGTGGCCAAGAATACAAAGAACCAGTTTGCCATACATACTATTGAGCTGGCAATTCCTAAAATAAATAAAAAAAATAATGATATTAATTTACTGCACTAGTTTTTGTGAATATTAAGTTCAAAAAAAAACCGTAATACAATTTCATCGGCATATTACTCACGATGCTTTAAGCAGTTTGAACACGTAACAAATTTATTGATAGCAAGACCCTATGTACCCTTAGAGTGAATATTACCTTTAATTTGAGCTGGAAATATTTCACCCATCAACATCCATGGGATAGGACCAAAACCGATGGAGAATAATATTATGAATACACACAATGACAATAGTGGGATATACCCAATTGATGAGACGTCATAATTGAAATCCTTTGCATAGAAAAATCCACCAATGAGAAATGTACAAATTCCCATTGCAATAACTGAATACAAAAGCAGAATCTTTCGTCCTAATTTATCTACAACAAGTGTTGACACGTAAGTAGACAAAACAGCCATGATACCAACAATAACTGTGGATGCATTTGAGCTTATTGAGCTACCAGATGCCTAAAATAAATTAAATTGTTCAGTAATATTAATTTATAACAATAGCAATATTTTGTACATTGAAGATGGTTGTGGTATAGAAAATAACAGTGTTACATCCCGTAAACTGCATAAAAACCATAACTCCAAGGCCTAAGAATAGCCCGCGCTTGGCTGGTGTAGTTTGGAAAGCTTTCATGACTGGAACTCTTTCTCTTTCAGTCTGTAAGAAAAAAATTGTTGTTTACTTATTAATTCATACAGAATTAAATTATGTATGAAGTATGTTTGTGGACTGTACTTTAGCCAAAGAATCTTGCATTGTAATTAATTCTTGGTCCACCTGACCAAAAGGTCTACGGAAATATTTCAATGACAATCGAGCTTTTATAATATTTCCTTTAGTTAGGTAGAAAATTGGACTTTCTGGTACAAAAAACATCAAACCTAAGTAGATCACTGGAATTATTGCACAAGCAATAGACAGACCAAATACATCCAACTGTAAAAGAGTATAAAGGTTTAAATACAAATTATGACAAAGTTTTAAATAGTTAAAACTTACAAATGATCCCAAGACATAGGTAAACAGGATACCTGAAAATACTTGTAACTGAAAATAAGTGCCCAAAGTACCTCGTATTTCTTTATCAGCTATTTCAGAGGTGTATTGTGGTACAATCACAGAGTATGAACCACTTGCAAATCCATTTAGAAGTCTCCCGATACAGATCATTGTCAGCTTAAAGAACAATTTTAAATAAATATGGTTTAAATTGTAACATCAAAAAATTTAAATCTTTACAGAATTGGCCCAGATTATCATCCCCCATCCTAAGAGCGCGGGAATAGTTAACATTATCATCAGACATTTACGCCCCAATTTGTTCACTAGACAACCCATAACTGGACATCCAAGTATAGCACCAAGTGGCATGCACGACGCAATCCATGAAATGTCGTCATCAGTAATAAGGAACCCATACTGGCCATTTTCCATCATTGGGCCAGCTGGAGAAGTCCATCCAAGTGTTGTGCCCATGATGAACCCGCCGATAGTTACTATGATCACGTCATGTAACAATTAATAAATTTGTAAAATAAATGTACAATACAAAAATTTAGAACTTACCGATCAATGTTGTTAAATATTGAGTCCTGTACTGTGTATTTTCACAGCCAAACGTTACGTTTTGGGGCAAATGCATAGTTTGATACAATGTTTTGTCAAGAAGAGGACTCTGTTCACAATAGACTTCCTAAAACAATCAAATGTATTTGTCAATAGTCTTTCAAATGTCATACATCACTTATGACTACTTAAATACTAATACAATATTTGTAATATTTTAATAAAAAAAAGTACAATAGTGATGACCTAGAGCAGAGGTAGTCAAACTTTTTCATCCCACGGCTCCTTTAAGTCTTCACAAAATGTTGACGACTTCCAAATTATAAATGACAAAAAAATCAATGTTTATATGATTGTAATTTATATTTTATAATTTATTTTTTATGATTTATTTACCATATTACATGTATAAAAAAATTAAAGCTGTATTTAGCGAATGATTGTTGTAGACAATTCAACGTTTCGGTGTGTCTCAATGGTAATAGTAAACGTTTTCGTTACAAATATTTATTGGTTTTCAATTATACTACGCGGCTCCCTCCGACAACTCCCTCGATGCCCCTGGGAGCCGCGACGCACAGTTTGAATACCTCTGACCTAGAGAGTTTTTTCGTCATTTGTAAAGCATAAAATACCTTAAGCGATGGAATTCTGTCTCGGCCATTGTCACTCTTGAGGCTTCCATCTGGCCCTTCAGTTTCGTCGTAAGACGCTAAAGTGGTCATCGTGTGGCCGGAGAGGACGATTTACGGAAACCGTTCGGACAGTAATCAATCTTGGGTAGCGACGGTCGAGTGAACACTAATCCCAAATATCGTCATTCGTCACTGATTTATTTTCAACTACTCTTAGAGTGCTAGTAGTACTACAGAACTACAAAAGCGAATTCGAACCGAAAATTGTTGGGAACTCGGAAAGCGAGCCAGAACTTTGAACACATTCAAATTATTGCATTGTATTTCCCAATTTTTAATGATAAAAATATTATGTTATCTAATCAATATCAATTATATTGAACAGGACTTCGGAGTTCGATCTTCCGTTTTGATGAATTTTCGTTTAAATCTCAGCTTTGGCTCTCGTCGCCGTACTCAGCCGCAGCTCAACAGATGTAATTATATTAAAGAAGATAACATGGTACATTAGTATTTAGTACCTACTATAATTATAGTAGTGTTTATTTATACTGTAAATATGTTATTATGTTATATTATGTGACTTGTAAGTGTTCACTACAACAACACAATCAATTTGAATTCGAAAGAAACGGTTTGTTTTTGTACGTTAATCGTTATCGTTTATCAAATTTAATACCGGCAATTCAGTATTGACTAAGTACACACAATAAGTATTCTATTTTACAATATGCTAAATATGAGTACCCACGGTAAATGGCCATAAGGTACATATTCGACAGTGACACATTGTTCACGATATACACATCGAGCTGACGAGAAAGGTAAACAATAGTATCGTCTGTTATTGCTATTATAATACATCCAAACAATATTATAGTAGGACCGCAGACTATTTTAAAATATATTTCACACAGACTGTGGTAGGAGGCCGTCGGGCAGTACTGGCAGTAGGTAATTCAGCTGTTGTATTTATAGTATTGTTATAGCACGATTAAACGCAGGCACGTAGATATTGTACTCAACTAAACTTTAAATAGGTACTTATAACTATTTAGACCCCAGATTTTAAGGCAAAATGCATGATTTTTGGGGAAGTTCCAGGCAATGCTTTTTATGTCCAAAATCCGTTTCGTAGGTACATCAAAGAATCGAAAACATTTTATTTATCTTTTTTCGAGAATTACACTAAAATGTAGATAATTTGTATACATTAGGTTTATACTAGATGAGGTACACTTAAGAGGAAAGTACAAAGAGCAAAAACTGTTTTGTGCGGAATAGAACCACTCAAGCTGTAGCCCAAGCTAAGCAACCACATGTTGCAAACAAGAGAACATTTATTGTGCAACATTATTTTTATTTTTTCGATATCAAAAAGACAAGGAAAGTTATTCAAGTTTGAGCTAATGAGTTTTTAAACAATAAGAACTTTTCTCGTACTTATAATATCGAAAAAATAAAATAATGTTGCACAGTAAATGTTCTCCTCTTAACATGAAAATGTTGCTTAGCTTGGACTGCAGATTGAATGGTTTTATTTCGAGCTAAACAGTTATTGCTGTACGTTTTGTAAGACGGACACAATTATAGACCTATAAACTTTAGTTTAACCTAACCTAAACTACAGTCTATATATCTATGGACACAACACATGTGGGTTTGGAATCCTCTTAATTGGTAATTAGGAATTGAGCTGCTGTGAGGGCCGAATTCGCTCACGAATTAAAAATTATTTAGCGAGGGTAGATGATGCTGCTGATATCGAAATAATTTTATTTAAACTTTGTCGTTAACAATTAGTTTCAATAATTAAGTATTAACAAGCAAGATCAAAACATAATTAATAAGATATAAGTTATTTACAAAAAAGACAAGAAGAAATTAAATTAAAAATCATGAAAAAAAAGATAATATATTATCAATGATATTTTTTTGTTGACAAGAGAGGATATTTTTGGTGTTGAAAGGGATGTTGGAGGTGGTTGCGTTGGAGTGATAGACTGGGCATTGAAATAATTTAAATCTAAATAATGATACCGGCCAATGTCATTAGTGGAGTTGGGTTAGATTAAGCCATGGATTAAACCATAGAAAAGAGATTAAACCTCACTAAACCTAATCTAACCTAAGCCTACTATATAAACAGCTCGTTGCTTGCAGTTTGTGACCTGTACGGCCGAACTGTGGCAGGTATTACCACAGAATAGATATTATACCTTCCCACGGCATATCTATGATATCAATCTAACCACCCCATTGCGTCTCACTAACCGCAGGTTATGGAAAACTGACCTATAGACTTAAATTTCCACGTTTGGGCCATACATTTACAGTAGGTAATTGTCCAATATTTCATTGTGATATGAATGTAACACTTAAATACTTAATAGAGAATTTAAGAAAATTCATTTAATTTAAACATTTTATCATATTTGGAATAATGTTATAATAACATTTGGTGAAAATATAAGGTAACTACCAACCCACTTATTAGTTTTTCAGTTACACAATAAACCTAAAATCGATTTTGTCAAAAATGGTTTTTTTTTAAACTCTCATTTTTCTGATTTTTTTTTTTGTAAGTACAATTATTGTACCAAAAATAGTATAATTAAGAATTTATTTTATAAAAATAAAAACAAATAAATAGGTACTCGTTAAAAGTGTTCAATATATTTGATTACATACATGTTTTTATACAATAAAAGTCTTGAGGTATCACAGATTTAAATCGTCACACCAATAGAATTAGAAATACATTAATAATAATAGGAGTGTCAGATAATATATTTAATCCATGGAAATGTTCCAAAAATTAGAAATTTAAGCTAAAACTAAAAAATTTCATCACAGCATAAGCTTTAAGGTAGTCAGTAAAAAAATATATGTATAATAATAATAAACAATTAAACTAAAAATTTAATAAAAAAAAATTCAAAACAGATCCAATAATTAATACGTACTAAAACAAGTAAAAAATTAAATGCTTGTTATTGATAAAAACATGCAACTATTTATGTACATAATTGTATTTTTTCTTATTATTATATTTATTTATTATAATAATAATATATTATGATGACTGTTGGATAAATAATAAAATTGATTACACTTGAAGTATAAATATATGTAATATATATTATTATTAGGCATCATTTTGATTTTCTGTTAATAGTGGAATGTGATCAGCCCCAAGCATTTCTTGAATTTCTTCCATGGTCTTACCTTTAGTTTCAGGGACAAAAAAGACCACAAAGAATGTTCCCAATACACTGAACAATGTGAATAGCCAAAATGTGTTGTATAAATAAATGGCAGATACCAAGAGTGTGAAAAATTTGGTGACCAAGAAGACGAATAGCCAGTTTGACATACAAACTATTGAGCTAGCAATACCTATAACAAAAACATAATCAAGTAAGAAAAATATATAAATAACAAAAAAAAACAAGGTTTTTTAGAATATTGTTTCCCCAAAACCAAAATTGCTTATTTCTGAGTTATTTTTACAAAAATTATACATCTAACAAATAATATCCAATAAAATCTGGGAAATACAATAAAATATATATTAAAGAATCAAGTACTCATAAATCTAAAAACAAATAAACAATAATCTTCAGGAATATAATAATTTAGTCCATAGTATCATACCTTTAATTTGAGCTGGGAATATTTCACCCATCAACATCCATGGGATAGGACCAAAACCAATGGAGAATAATATTATGAATAAACATAACGACATTAATGGGATAAACCCAAAAGATGTAATATTATAGTGAAATTCCTTTGCGTAAAAAAATCCACCAATAAGGAATGTACAAATTCCCATTACAACAACAGAATACAATAACAGTATTTTTCGTCCTAATTTATCAACGACAAGCGTTGATACATATGTGGACACTACAGCCATGATGCCAATAATAATTGTGGATGTATTTGATCCAATTGAACTCCCAGTTGCCTGCAATAAATTGTACATAATTATTATGTATAAATAATTCTATTTAATGAGTTTACTGAATATATTTACATTGAAGATAGTTGTAGCATAGAAAATAACGGCATTACACCCACAAAACTGTTGGAAAACCATAACTCCAAGACCTAAGAATAATCCTCGTTTGGCAGGTGTAGTTTGGAATGCTTCCGCAATTGGAACTCTTTCCCTTTCAGTCTGTAAAAATAAATTTACCGTTTACTAACTCTATAACTACATAATTATTAAAATGTGTGATCTTATATTTGTTTTTATACTTTAGCTAATGCGCTCTGCATGGTATTTAATTCTTGATGTACATGAACAACAGGCTTGCGGAAATATTTCAGTGATAACTGAGCTTTTTCAACATTTCCTTTCATAAGATAGAAAATTGGACTTTCTGGTATTAAAAACATTAAGCATACATAAATCACTGGAACTATTGCACAAGCTACAGATAGATCAAATACATTAAGCTGTAAAAGAAAATAACATTTAAATTAAAAATTAAACACAATCGCACATTAACTTACATAGGATCCTATTACATAGGTGAACAAAATTCCTGCATTGACTTGTAACTGAAAATAAGTACCTAAAGTACCACGAATTTCCTTTTCAGCTATTTCTGAAGTGTACAAAGGTACAATAACAGAGTATGAACCACTAGAAAATCCAGTTAAAAATCTGCCTGCACATATCCATACCACCTTAAAGAATATTACCCACATCAACAGTTTTATTTAAAATTGTTATAAAAAAGTATAAATACTTACAGATTTAGCCCATATTACCATCGCCCAACCAAAGAGTGTAGGTATGGTCAACATTATCATTAGATGTTTACGTCCTAACTTGTTGACTAGACCAGCCATAACCGGACATCCTAACATGGCACCAAGTGGCATGACCGATGCTATCCATGAGACATTTTCCACAGTAATTTGGAACCCGTATTGGCCGTTTTCCATCATTGGACCTGCAGGAGCCGTCCATCCAAGTGTTGTACCCATGATAAACCCTCCAATAGTCACTGTGCAGTCACATTAAATAAATAATTTTATTTTAATACAGACTTTTGTACATTTCAACCTACCAATTAATGCAGCTAAATACTGATTTCCTTTATGAGTTTTTATTTGGGTTTCTATGCTCTCAGCAGCAATTTGTTGAGCTATTGTTATAGTTTTAGGAACTGTCTTATTGACAAGTGGACTTTTTTCACTGTAAACTTCCTGTAATTATTCAATAAACATTAAGTACCTGTTTTATTATACATAGGTAAGTAGCAAAAAAATAATTCTGCCCCAAATAACCAATTGACATTGCAATTATTTTTTTAAATAAAACCATGACTATTATTTACAATGTGTGAATTTCGGCTAACAGTGGTTTAAGTTGAAGAATCTAAGTTTTATGGCTATAAAGTGTTAATAAAAATTTTTTTTTATAACAATAGTAATATGTATAATACTTTTGGTATTTTATCTTCATCTTCATCGCTGGGACGTCTGAAACTAGAAGCAACGTGACCGTCATAATCACTTACTCTACTACTTCTACCCTCAAATATATTATGCATGTTATGTTCTATCTCAGTGCTTCTACTAGGTAGAATTGTAGTATTTCATGAAATTTAATCGAAGATCAAGTAGATCTACTATGAAGTCCGAACTCTGGAGTTACTAAAAATATTTAATTTAAATTTGAACCAATACTGAATACAGCGATGTCAATGATTGTTTTAAAAATAATACAATTTATTATAATATTTATATATTAAGATTATATTTATCTAATAATAATTGATAACCCGAAGTATAATGATAGTCGGGGGCAGATGATAAATAATTGTTGACTAGTTGTTGCATAGAACATATGTTTTATATTTTTTATCTTGCTAGGATGTCAGTCGTGGCCTCAGTGCACTGTCCGTAAATTGCAATTTGTTGGCTGTTTTATGATATACTAGCTGCCAATGAAACTCTGGGACTTGTGAGACTCGCCGATGCAGACGACAATGTCGTCGAAATGACTTATAGAAGTCACTCCGACCTGTTGACGTCATGGGTGGTCAAAAAACAAAAATTAAAGAGGTGATAAGGATTTTTGATAAGTCTTGGAGGCCTCGTTTCGAGCGCGGGAATGTTTGAAATTCCGTTTTCAGTGTCTAGAAATCTCACTTCACCCACGAAAATCGGTAATTGAATAATGAAGTTCCCCGTCGCATGTCCGGTGCTTTTTCGTATGTAAAAAAATGTAAATTCGAAATCTGTGTTGAAATGTCTAACAAGTCCTTCACCTCAATCGAAAATCGTTTAAAATTCAAAATAGCTACCTATACTCTATTCGGAATGAGATCGTACCTCGGCGGCGACCAGTTTTTGTCCGCATCGGTCAGACGCTTCCCCCGTTTGGAAAGCTCGCGAGACTAGCACTGCGGAACGAAACCACGCCCATGCGCAGAAATCGGCCGCCGCGGTACGATCTCATTCCGAATAAAGTATAGGTAAGCATCCGACTTCGTCACTATTGTTTATTCAAATATAATCTATGCTACACTTCTAAATTTGTGTGTAATTAATACTCAGATTAGTTTCTATCTACTGATACTTAATAGCATAGATCATACTCAACTCGTCATATTTTCCAAATCTAGATAATATAAAAAAAAATGTTTATCTGATGATTTATTTTGGATTAATAACCGTACCATAATAAACGGTTAATCTAACTAGGTAAGAAAATATCGAGTAAATTAAAAAAAATTCCGGGCGATTGTAAATTCTCCCGGGTCTACTCCAGTACTACCTGACGAAAACGTGTAAACTCTCCCGGGTCTAGTTTAGTACTACCTGAAGAGAACATGCACTCTCCCGGGTCTAGTAAAAATCATAAAATAAATTTAATATACATTTAAGTTGCGTTTAAAAATAGTCAATCATATATAATAATAATAATAATAATAATAATAATAATAACAATATAAATTAATGTCTTTAGCTGCTATGAACATGATATTATAGTCAAAATACAATAAAAAATAAAATAAATTTAATATACATTTAAGTTGCGTTTAAAAATAGTCAATCATATATAATAATAATAATAATAACAATATAAATTAATGTCTTTAGCTGCCATGAACATGACATTATAGTCAAAATACAATAAAAAATAAAATTTCAAAAAATCCAATGTACATTTAAGTTTCTATTAAAAATAGTCTATAATAATAATAATAACATAAGTTACAAATACAAAATATACGTAAAAATGTTAAAATTATTGTTTTTGATAATGAGAACATACAGATTTTAAAAAAGTTAGGGAATCTATTTTTTTTTCTTTATAATCTAATATTTTTTGGGATATATTTTTTTCTTTATTTTTTGTATAAATATTTTTACTCGATTGGTTTAATTTATTACAACTTTGAATTTTAACGTATATTTCAGTTTGAAAATCGGTTAGAGCATTAATGAATATAAATAAAGATGGATGAGAAATATGAGAAATATAAACTATAATAGAAATATAAACTTGAGAAATATGAATTTAAATGCGAATGGAACGATTCACAAGCGTTTGTTGTTTTTGAAGTTGATGATGATGCTGAAGCCCACATTGTTGGAGGATATAATGCATCATCATCAATATACGTACTCACCAAGTATGAAGCAAATGTTTCCAATTTTTCATTTTCTGGAGGCATTATCGCAGCTAATGTAAATACATAAATATTTCCAACTTCATTTGAATCTATAAATAATAATCCAAAAACATAACGCAGCCATTTTCCAACATCGCTTGTGCCATTTCTATATTCTACAGAATGACCCAATTCCTGGATTTTTCTATACCACGCTTGTGTGAGATGAAATCTGCAGCATTCTATTTTTGTCCCGGGCCAAACATTTAAAACAGCATTATGTATAGACTTTTCAAGATCTACAATAACCGTCTTAGGATAAAATAATAAATTCATATTAGCACATTTATCAACTAACATTTTAAATATACGTTCATAGGATATAGTAGATTTATCTGATAATAAACAAAATATTAATGGTATATAGTGACCATTTATATAGCCATGTAAAGTCACCAATTGTTTAAAAAACTTAGTGCAATAAGAAAAAGTACCATCTAAATAAATAATTTCTGATTGCGTTAAACAATTTAAATTTGTAGAGCATGCAAATATTACTAATTATAACGTAAAAAAAAGAATAAAATGCAAAAGAAAATGATCTGATTTCGAGTGTCGATCCGGAAACCTGCGCATCTATGAACGACGCATTGGTCCAGTAGACTACAACTATAAGCTACTAATCTTGTGATATATTTTGATTATATCGTACAATATGTACCAAATCGTCCAAATCACATAGTTAATGAATAGCATACTTACGTATCATTACGTTTCAAAGTATAATATATCATAAAATTAAATAATTACTTACCGATAATATATATAAGTGCCGGGCATTTATTCGCACTACATTTCCATTCGACTTCACCACTCGATAATGTTGATTGCTTGTGGAAAATAAATGAGAACATAATCAACACTTCTTTGTTTCTTTGACTTGTGCAGTACTTAAAATTTGGTTGAGCCATAATGATTATAATAATCAACGTGACAACGTGGTTATAATTTAAATATTTAAATTACAAATATAGTTTAACGGTAATATGATTTACACATTTATGGTAATACGATACGATAAAATGATAATCACAATCTCTGCAGTGTAGCCAACTCGTAGTGTAGCAATAACATTTAAAACAACTCGGGAGAGTTTACACATTTACTTCAGGTAAACATAATTTTGACCCGGGAGAGTTTACACATTTACTTCAGGTAAACATAATTTTGACCCGGGAGAGTTTACACATTTACTTCAGGTAAACATAATATTAACCCGGGAGAGTTTACCATCGGGAGAGTTTACTACTTTGAAAAATCGGGAGAGTTTACCACCGCCCAAAATTCCGACTTTCAGCCTTCAGGTCAGTCCAGCCCTCATGTTTCAGTCCGGCTCTCAGGTCAGTCCACCTCTCATGTCCGGTCTGGCTCTCAGGTCAGTCCGGCGCTCATGTTTCAGTCCCACTTTCAAGTCAGCCCGGCTCTCATGTTTCAGTAAATTTGAATGGGATACGTTGAGTTATTCACAAAAATCGTATTCGACATATACGTGTATAGAAGGTCGGTCGTCCGCGATTTCGAGTGAAAACCGCATACGTACGTCTTTTAAAAGAAGTTAACTTTCGGGCACAAACGGTGTACGAAAAGACGATACCGATCGAGAAAAAACGAAAAAAGCGAGAAATACGTGCGAGCGTCGTGGGGCAGGCGCCACTGTTTTCAATCGAGATTGCGACCGTCACGGACTTAAAACGAACGAAGCCCGAACATGCTGCACGGACTTAAGACTTTTTGGGGAACGCGAATTAAATACAAACGGAGCCCAAAAAGTGTAAAAATCGGAAGAAACTTGATAACAAAGCCAAAATGTTGGCGGATTTTGCAAAAATAGTATTACTTGATAGAAAACCGCGGTTGTGATAACAGTGCCGGCGATCCGATCGGATCTTGCCTATTCTACATTTCTACTTATACATAATATGGGAAAATCTAATTTTTCGATTGAACGCGCTCCGAAAACGACAGAGCGGATAAAACTCAACTATTAAGCGTTTTATAATATAAGTCATAAGAGATTCATTTTTATGGAACTGTGAGCGTATAAAATAAATACAATTTAAACTCTATAAATTCCATTAAAATCAAAATATCGTAAAACATCCAACTTAGCGACACAAGACAGGTTTAGACGAAAATATGTTCTTAACTAAACGTTTGAAAATAGCCGACATGTGAACGTGAATAGACAGCAATTCCCTCTAATATTAAAGTAACGGCATTGGGTTGGTTCTCCTAAACGTAAATCTGCAACGTTGGGTGAGACAGTCGGAGAGAGAAAACAAACGGTGCTCTGACGTCCTCTTAATGGTCTTAAATCTGCTCAGCTAGACACTAGGCAGTTGTCAAGTGATTGGTATTTATGACTTTTACTGCAGTTTAATGCAGTCGTAAAATATTTAGCAAGTATCACAATACGCTTATGTAAACTCGTTTAAATGTAATGTGCTGGAATAAGCTCCCCTTCCAACACCCCACCTTTATAATATAATAGTTATTGTAGGTACATTTAAACTTACTTTTTCTAACCTCGCATAAATTATACGTATACAGTACGACAGTACCTACCCACCCATGGCTAAATACTTAGAACTAAGTATTTAGCCATGCACCCTGTAGGTTGTAGGCACAATTTTTACTCAGATATTATTATTAATTTCACTAAAACACATTCTCAACCATTTTTTTTTTTTACAATTAAATGTACGAATATAATTAAAGTAATACCTAACCTTATGATGACTTGTGATGACTAAGGTTAATATGTCATAATAAGAATGCGCAAAGGAACCTAATATAAACAAATGTATAGTAAATACAATACCATTTTTTTAAGATAATGTTTGATCTTTTTAGTTATTACAAACACCATTATAATTTTATGTAATTGAAATAAAATACTGAATTTAATACTATATTTATAGAATATTTCATAAACAAGTTTTTATCTCACTCGCTTATAGTTCTGAAACTTTTTGAGATATATTGTTGTCATCTATGCAGATTTACGTGTAAATATCAAATAACCAACCTTTTTTGTATAATCCGTAGGATCTTACAAATAAAAAAAAGGGGAAAGTAGGTAGGTAACCGTCTAGTGTAATACTGCGCGCCTGTACTGTCGTAGGTGTTGAGAGAAGGTACCTATTGTTATTGATTAAGTCACTTTAATGTACCTATGTGCTACATTTGAAATAAAAGATAAATCATTATATAATGTGAAAAACAATTTTTTTTAGATTTTTTGATTTTAGTAATTATTATTTACAAGGGATTTTGTAACAAAGTGTCAAACCTAAGCTTTAAAAATCGAATTTTTA